CTACACCAGATCCCTGAACCTACACCAGGATTCTGAACTGCAAAACCAAATCCCCCTGAACCTACACCAGGTCCAAACCTGCACCAGATCTAAACCTACACCAGGTTCCAAACCTGACCAGATCCTGACCTACACCCAGGTCCAAACCTGGCACCAGATCCTGAACCTACACCAGGTTCCAAAAACCTGCACCAAGCCATGAAACCTAAACACCCAGTTCTGACCTGCACCAGATCCTGAAACCTACACCAGTTCCAAACAGCACCAGATCCTGAACCTACACCAGGTTCTGAACCTGCACCAATCCTGAACCTACAACAAACCAGGTTCTGAGCCTGTTTTATAAAAATAGGTTCCCAGCCAACAGTAACTTAGGGCCCTAGGTCCTCTAGGCCTATTCTATGCACATAATTAAGCATAATACCAAACATTAATTAACAATGGCTATAAGTTGGGCTTTAACATTTAACATTTTAACAATAACATGGCAAAAATAGTTACCATACATAATTTCTTACTGGGACCCTCGAATTTAGTCGTGCCTTTTCTGTATGCAAAACCTGTTTTTATTATCATAAATGGATTTTTTTAAATATTTCCCACGGAAATATGTAAATACAATAAACTCATTCCAAACACCCAAAAATATTAAAAAAAAATACATGTTATTGATAAAAAATAATATTTTTTGAATACAGAAAAGGCAGGACTAAATTCGGGGTTCACTGTATAGTAGACCCTCGAATTTAGTAGTGCCATATCGTACGCTAAACAATTTTTTTTTTTTATCTAATAAAAAATATTTTTGTTAATATATCCCATAGAAATAAAGTTATACAATCAAATCATCCAGACGCCCAACAATATTAAACAAAAAAACATTTATTGATAAAAAAGTATTTGCATACAGAAAAGGCAGAGACTAAATTCGAGGGTCCACTGAACTTAGTCTTACCGGGAGAACTTTTGTGTTTAGTAAAGATCTTAAATCAGGGAGCCTAATCTTTTATGATTACAGGAACAGCCTGGTTGAGCAGCTCTCCAACCACCAAGGGACCTGTCATGGATCCAGACCGCGGGTGGAGCGTTGACCCTCCGGGAACAACTCCTGGTATACTCTCGTCACCAGTCAGTATGTTAGCTTAATGTTTATATTATGTACCCTATACCAAACTGTGGGTGGTACAAAAGATTTACCGAGGTATCAGTGGTCCAGGGACTACACCTCAACATTACAGAGGTACATAATGGGGTCCAGACTGTACCTCAACAATACATTGAGGTTCATAATGTCCAGGGACTGTAGACCTCAACATTACAGAGGAACATAATGGGTTCCAGGGACTGTACCATCAACATTACAGAGTACATAATGGATCCAGGGACTGCACCTCAACATTACAGATGTACATAATGGATCCAGGGACTTGCACCTCAACATTACAAGGTACATAATGGGTCCAGGGACTGCACCCAAACATTACATACAGAGGTACATAATGGGTCCAGGGCCTGCACCTCAACATTACAGAGGTACAAAAGGGTCCAGACCTGTAACCTCAACATTCAGAGGTACAAATTGGATCCAGGGACGCACTCAACATTACAGAGTACATAAGGGTCCAGGGACTGTACCTCAACCTACAGAGGTACATATGGGCACACAGTTTGTGATAGCAGATCACGTACAAAGAGGTAACAAATCATTACAACAGCACAACCTGATCACAATTGAAACGATTACTAATGCAAGGTCAGGAAATTACTTGTCATAATCCAGTCTTATTAGGTACCAGTATGAGTTAACCAGTCTTTTAGTACCAGCATGAGTTACCAGTCTTATTAAGTACCAGTATGAGTTTTACCAGTCTATTAGTTACCAGTGCTATTAGGTACCAGTATGAGCCTCACCAGTCTATTAGGTACCAGTATGACTCACCATTGGCTATTAGTACCAGCATGAGCTCACCAGTGCTATTAGGTACCAGTATGAGCTCACCCAGTGCTATTAGTTACCAGTTATGAGCTCACCAGTGCTATTAGGTACCATAGACCTCACCATTGCTAATTCTAGTATACCAATTATGGCCCTTAACTTCCATATTTATGAGCCACTGGATGAGAAACGATCTACAATCAACATACCCCGAGTTTGAGAAATTAAGACACAAGTGCAACTCTTGGGTATCTTAAAGATACCCATAGAGTTTGCACCATGTGTCTAAATTAATCAATATGTACCGAAATGAGGTAATCAGACCCTCAGACAGACACATGTTACACATGTGTCAGAAGTTCGACGAATGTTGAGGGTATTGAAGACCCTAACATTATGCACCGTCCAGCTCAGTGGGAAGGCAGACATTCTGCATGTAATAACACATAAAAGCTAAGCAGTTTGGCTTCTGCTGGAGTTTATCCAGGGTTTCCCCTCCAGGATGCGACGCCTATAGTCTTGTTGTTCGCCTTATAGTCTTGTTCGCCTTATATCTTTGTTCGCCTTATAGTCTTGTTCCGCCTTAAAGTCTTGTTCGCCTTATAGTCCCTTGTTGGCCTTATAGTCTTGTTCGTCTTATAGTCTTGTTTCGCCTTAGAGTCTTGTTTCCCTTATATCTTGTTCCCCTTATAGTCATGTTCGCCTTATAGTCTAGTTTGCCTGATAGCCTTGTTCGCCTTATAGTCTTGTTCGCCTTATAGTCTTGTATTGCCTTATAGTCTTGTTCGCCCTTTATAGTCTTGTTTGCCTTATAGTCTTGTTCGCCTATAGTCTATGTAATATCCTGGTAGTGTTGTAATTAAAGTTGGTAGAATTACCGACAATATGTAAGTAAAAGGACACAAATGCAACTAAGTGACATTTATTGTGGCAACGTTTTGCCTCCAGGAGCTTTAAATCAAGCCATTACCAATGGGTTGATAAAGCCCTGGAGAGCCGAAACGTAGCCACAATACATGTCACATTAGTTCACTTGTGTCCTTTTACTTTACATCGCTGGTAGGTGAAGGATGTCAGGTGACCTCGTCCATGTCTCGTCCCTTCCCATGATGCCACCCACAGCAGTCCCTTCTTACCACCTAAGTTCTTGAAAGTTTAGACACAGCAACAACTGGATATCATATTGTAGATGTTTCGCCAACCCGTGGCTTTTTTTTTTTGTCAAAACTGATGGCTACACGTCTACAATAAAGATACCCTGATGTAGCATGTGTCTAAGCTTTTCATATTGTCGGTAATTTTTATACTTTCTTGCACACCCTAAGTTCTTATCTTACAACCAGGTGAAAAAAGGTGCAGAAGGTGTGAGAATACTCGTGTCCTGTCCAGGTGGATGTGTGGAACAACTTTCCGAGTTAGGTGATAGAGGCAGGACCCTGGTAGCTTTAAAAAAGAGATTTGGCAAATTAATATCAGTGGTGGTTTGATAGAACCTGCTTTATATGGGCCAGAAGGCCAATTCGGCAGTGTTCTTTACTTCATTCCTTATGGTCGGAAATGAGATCTTTAGAGACAGAGGATCGTCCCTTCTGGTTAAGTGACCACTGGTTAGGTCTCCCACTGTAAGAACAAGCTTTATGTGAGGAAGTGGGCGTGAGTGTGGCCGGGGCGTGGTGTTGGTTATGGGCAGTGTGCCTGGAGAGGCCACTTCTCGACCAGTTTACGTGATGAATCTACGTCTCTGAAAAAATAAAATTTAATGTGACAGATGAAGTACGACTCGACTAACATTTAACAAGGTTTCCTTAACATAATGGATACTGAAGCTAAAACCTTGGTAGCCTTCAAATTTAAAGTTCGATAAATTACATAAGCAGAGGTAAGACACACAGGCAACAGTTACGATGACTTTATTCCAAAACGTTTTCGCCACACAGTAGGTTCTTCAGTCGAATACCAAAAAGTAGGCAGGAGCAGTGAAGACGATGTATCATCCATCACCCTTGAAGTGCGTAAATTTGAGGTTGTCAGTCCCCTCAGCCTGGAGAAATTCTGTTCCAAAGTCTGGAACTAACTGAAGATCAAGCGACAGTGTTGAGACTTAAATACTGTAAAGTAAAAGGACACAAGTGTAACTAATGTGACATTTTATTGTGGCAACGTTTCGCTCTCCAGGAGCTTTGTCAAGCCGTTAAGACTTAAATACTGTGGGAAGGAGAGGTGCAGAGTAGTAGTAGTGAGAATGTAGCCACTGAGAGGTCACGTCCCTCTCAGATCAAACAATTCTCACTTGAAAAAGTTATCCAAGGTATTTTCTGTACCAAGATACCATTGTGACACTTATGCAGCATATGGGAATCTTTATTCAGGAAACGTTTCGCCACACAGTGGCTTCATCAGTCCAATACAAAGAGGAAGGCGTAAGGAGAGGAGGAGAATGAGGTAATCAGTCCCTCAACCTGGAGTCGACTCCAGGTTGAGGGACTGATTACCTCATTCTCCTCCTCTCCTTACGCCTTCCTCTTTGTATTGGACTGATGAAACCACTGTGTGGCGAAACGTTTCCTGAATAAAGATTCCCATATGCTGCATAAGTGTCTCAATCTTCAACTTGTCGGTTTTTCAAACCATTCATCACAAGATACCATTGTGTTGCAGTGTCTGACAGGGTGAATATCAAATCTACGACTTCCAGGGTGATGGACGGATTACACCGTCTTCACTGCTCCTGCCTACTTCCTGTACTCGACTGAAGAAGCCTACTGTGTAGTTTGCTTGGAGTTTACATGGAGAGAGTTCCGGGGGTCAACGCCCCCGTGGCCTGGTCTGTGACCAGGCCTCGTAGGCGAAACGTTTCGGAATAAAGTTGCCTAAATGTTGTGCAAGACAGGTATGCAATGCCGACAAGATGAAAGTTAAGACACTTGTGCAACATCTGGTTATCTTATTGTAAACGTTTCGCCATCCAGTGGCTTTATCAATACAGATTCTTGGACATAACTGGAAGACAGTAGGACTATGTACAGAAGATGAGGTAATCAGTCCCTCAGCCTTGGAGGTGGTGTTCACAGCACCGTGGTTGCAGAGATTCTGAAGCACAGGTAAGGAGACTGGTGCTTATATAGGTGTCAGTGGATAGGGACGTGTAGCAGACGAGGACATAGTTACTGGTAGGTGGGATTCCCCAGTGGAAGTAAGTCCTTCCCAAATTGATGGGTTAGTTGTAGAAGTCGTGAAGAAGGTCATGTAAATGTAATCTGAACCAAGATACCATGATGTTGTAGTGCCTGACAAGTTGTGCAAGACAGGTATGCAATACCGACAAGATGAAAGTTAAGACACTTGTGCCACTGGATTTACCTGGAGTTTACCTGGAGAGAGTTCCGGGGGTCAACGCCCCCGCGGCCCGGTCTGTGACCAGGCCTCCTGGTGGATCAGAGCCTGATCATTTCCCGAAATGAGCCTAAATACCTTCCATCCCCTCCCTCCATAGGTGCTGTATAATCCCTACAGGTTTAGCGCTTCCCATAATAGAAAAAGACAGAATAACGTACAGTCTGACACCAGTGTTGACAGCTAGTTCATTCAGGTGTGTAACGAAGGCCTGGGGCAAAGTAGCAGCGTTGGGCACTACCCTCATGTCTCCAACCACGCCCAGGTGGGCACGACCCAAGTACGACGCCACGCACACGGACAACACTGTCAGGGAGAATGAGTTAGAATTTAAAGATTTTGATTTCTTCGCAATGTGTGAATACAACTGTGATTTGTTAAATACAATAAAAATTACTAATATGTTTGGGCATTTGCATGGTGATAAGACTTTATAAATGACATGAATCACAAATAGATGAAGTCACTAAGGTCCTAAGACCCGAATATTGACAATAAAATGGCCAGGTGTTTTTAATTATTAATGAAAAATGACACACTTGTGAAAAATCTGGGAATTTTCAGTGAGAATTAGTCTCATTCCCCAACCTGTCTAAGATTTTAAATCATTCACATCACGTTATTAGTCAAAACTAAGTGTACATGTGTCTGGCGTATCATAACCAAGAAGGGTTATGATACGTAAGACACATGTGAAACAGTTAGGTATCTTTATTCCGAAATGTTTCACTTACATAGACTTCTTCAGTCTAGGACACAAGAGCTAGCAGCAGCAGTAGACGATGTCACCAGTCCATCAGCCTAGATGAACATCAAAATGGTATACAATACCGACAGGTTGGTAGTTAAGACACATAGGCAACAGTTAGGCAACTTTATTCCGAAACGTTTCGCCTACACAGTAGGCTTCTTCAGTCTAATACAGAAAGTAGGCAGGAACAGTAGAGATGTGAAGACGATGTAATCAGTCCATCACCCTTGAAGTCGTAGAATTTGAGGTTGTCAGTCCCTCAGCCTGGAGAAGTTCAGTTCCATGGAACTATGGACTATGGAACTGAACTTCTCCAGGCTGAGGGACTGACAACCTCAAATTCTACGACTTCAAGGGTGATGGACTGATTACATCGTCTTCACATCTCTACTGTTCCTGCCTACTTTCTGTATTCAACTGAAGAAGCCTACTGTGTAGGCGAAACGTTCCATTAGCCTTGAAGACAGTTTTGAGGTGGTCAGTCTCCAGGTTGAGGGACTGACCACTTCAAAACTGTCTTCAAGGCTGATGGACTGATTACATTCTCTTCACATCTGTACTACTTCTCTGTTACTGACGTTACTATATAAGCGCCAGGCTCCTTACTTCTGCTTCAGAATCTCCACGACTACAGTGCTCTTCGCACCTACTCCAAGGTCGAGGGACTGATTACCTCATCTTCTGTATATAGTCCTACTGTCTTCAAGTTATGTCCTGGAATTTGTATTGATAAAGCCACTGGATGGCGAAACGTCTACAATAAAGATACCCAGATGTTGCACGTGTCTTAATTTCATCTTGTCGGTATTATATATCATTCTTGCACAACTTTTCTGTACTCGACTGAAGACATCTACTGTGTAGGCGAAACGCTTCAATAATAATACCTAACTGTTGCAGATGTGTCTTATCAACCTGTCATAGTGTATACCATTCTCATATTTACGTGGTGGAGGCTTGATCCTCCGTCTGTTGAGCGCCAGGCAGAGGAAGGTAATCCTTCCTATTTAAAATCATCTATATATCTCAGATTGATAATAATATGTCTTACCAGCGCCATCCTGCGGGGGTCTCCAGTAGAAGATATTCAGGAGGTCATGTCCCCAGAGGTTGATGGGGTGGGAGGGTCCTGCTAGGTTGGACATGAGGATAGGATATCGAGCTGAGAGAGCTCGGAACACCCACCCCAGCAGAGTCTCCGGCAGGAAGTATGCTACATTCCTCACCAGCCACACGGAGGCCAGGTAACGCTCGGGGTAGGCATGAATTTTCTGCATGGAGTCTCTCACGGTGTGTAGGGCTGTGGAGGAATCAGTGGCACCTGTGGGGAGTGCCAGGGTGACCAGACCTGGCGTGCGAGCAGTGCCACGACTCTCCGCCCACCGTTGTGAGTACACTGGTAATGTACAACAGACTTCGTCAGGAAGAGGCAGCCCCATCACACGCAGATAGTCCCGCACTGCACCAGCAGAAGCCGTTAGCAGTACCTCCGTCAGCGTGGCTCCAGTGACGCCTCGCACACCCCTGGCAGTGCTCAGAGGAACTGGGTCACTCCATGCTACAGCCATACCACCAGTCTGCCTCACACCCCTGGGTGACAGTGTTCTTCGGCGACGTCCTAAGCACCCCACAAGGGGCGTCACCCCACGTATACTGAGAGCCTCCTCCAGTACCAGACGTGGTAGTGTAACAAAGGCTCGTATCATCCAATACACCTCCACCACAGCATCTATCACAATAATACACTCCTCTGTAGCACGTACCTTTGCCATCCAGCAACACAAAATACTGCACCACACTGAGAGTGTCCCAGGCAACTTAAACACCCACACAGTACACCACAGCAACACACCTAACACCCAGGACACACACCAGATACACACATGGATGACAGACTTTATGTTGAAGGATTCCTTTGTGGTTACCCACAGTGATCCAAGACACCTGTTAAGTTTTCCGCTCAGTTTGGAAACGAGGGTAAAGCAAGCAGTCACAGCCCGGGCTATCAGTGCTGGGAGGTCTTCAGGGCCTACCTTATAGGCAGCCTGCACAGCCTCCTCCACCAGTGCCATCATGGTGGAGCGACAAGCGTGCCACCACACCCTACAAACCACGCAAACACTGAGAGCACTTGTGGAGGTCAGAGTGCGGGCCATATTGAGAAAGCGGACGGTTGAAGCAGGAGAAGCAAGAAGGGTGAGGTCTCGGGTAGCTGGATGCCTCCAGGGGTCAGGGTAGGCTGTCACCAGCAAATCAGGAAGTGTTAGTTTGGATGCCAGTAGGTGGTGGGCACGTGCAACTACCCAAGTCTCACCACATTCCCCATCACAGGTAACTATCACTGTCACCCGCCAGGGTGGAAGGTCCCGGGACAGAGGTTCACTCACCGCCTCACTCACACACTCCTGCAATAAGATCATCTTCAATAAGGAGACGGAGGATCTAGGGAATTGGATCTGTGCTCCAGTTGGATCTGTGCTCCAGTTCCCTGAATTAAGCCTGAATGCCTTCCATCCCCCCATAGGCGCTGTATAATCCTACGGGTTTAGTGCTTCCCCCTTGATTATAATAATAATAATAATAATAATAATCGTATATTACATATAAATCTCCACATAGTACACAACCCGCAGATAGGAGAAAGAAGTATACGTCAACTAGTCAATGGTCGATAAATTAGACACATGTGCAACTCTTGGGTATCTTTATTGAGGAAACGTTTCGCCACACAGTGGCTTCATCAGGCCATACAAAGGAGAATCTTGAAGAACAGGAGGAGAATGAGGTAATCAGTCCCTCAACCTTGAGTCGATGTGGTCAGTCCATCAATCTTAAATACAATACGGCATAAGCGTGGAGAAGGAGCTTATAAACCGTAGGCAGGAGAGGTGCAGCAGTCGATTGATGGACTGACCACATCGACTCAAGGCTGAGGGACTGATTACCTCATTCTCCTCCTGTTCTTCAAGTTTCTCCTTTGTATGGACTGATGAAGCCACTGTGTGGCGAAACGTTTCCTCAATAAAGATACCCAAGAGTTGCACATGTGTCTAATTTATCAACGTGTCGATTCTCTGAACCATTCATCTACAAATATGTTAGGTTAAAGGACTTAAGCCGTTACAGCTTGATAAATCTCCTGGAGAGCGAAACGTTGCCACGATAAAATGTCACATTAGTTGCACTTGTGTCCTCTTAACATATCTAACTTTTTGCCCATGTGTCTAATTTATCAAGGGATCAAAACTGACTTCTCGGAGGAGACGGGAGTGGAAATATAAACACATATGCGGTATAATGTGATCCTTTATTGACTACGTTTCGCCCACACAGCGGGCTTTTTCCATTGTGTCGGTATTTTATACCATTTATTTCCAGGAGACTGGAGTATAGGGCCCTGATCGAACCTATAGTTTTATATATTAGGGTTTGAATATCAAAATACCGACAGGTTAGTAGGTAAGACACGTAAGCAACAGTTAGGCAACTTTATTCCGAAACGTTTCGCCTACACAGTAGGCTTCTTCAGTCGAATACAGAAAGTATTCTCTACTGTTCCTGCCTACTTTCTGTATTCGACTGAAGAAGCCTACTGTGTAGGAGAAACGTTTCGGAATAAAGTTGCCTAACTGTTGCTTACGTGTCTTACCTACCATATTAGGATTTACCTGTATGTTCCTGGAGGTGACGAGGCGGCCACGGTAGTGAAGAGGGGCCATAATAACATGTTGCTCTATAGTGAAGGTATCATGTCTCTGCCAGGCGTAGTAACCTGCCACCTGTACTAGACGACGACGGAAGTTTGGGTGCATGAGGTCGCCCCCGTCGCTTCGACGTTCCACAACCTCCTCCTGTAAAACACTGACAGTCGTTAAAAACGGTATAAAATACAGACAAGTTGAAGATTGAGACATATGTGTCACAGTTGGCTATCTTATTGATGAAATGTTTCGCCTATACAGAAGGTTTGTTCAGTCAAATTCATCACCACCTCTTCCTTTGTATCTGACTGAAGAAGTGGAAAAAGACTCTTATGTACAGTTCAGGACATTTATTAAAGGAAACGTTTCGCCACGAGTGGCTTCTTCAGTCCTAATACAGAGAAAACTAAGAAAACACACATATATTAGTTTTCTCTGTATTAGGACTGAAGAAGCCACTCATGGCGAAACGTTTCCTTTAATAAATGTCCTGAACTGTACATAAGTGTCTTTTTCCACATCTTGTCGGTATCACCATACCATTTCCTCAGAGAAGTATGTGTACGAATGGTATATAATACCGACAAGATGAGATTAAGACACATGTGCAACATCTGGGTATCTTTATTGTAGACGTTTCGCCATCCAGTGGCTTTATCAATACAAATTCTAGGACATAACTTGAAGACAGTAGGACTATGTACAGAAGATGAGGTAATCAGTCCCTCAACCTAGGAGTAGGTGCGAAGAGCACCATAGTATGTATGTATAATGTTCGCCAAGACCGTAGTCCTGGCACGGGTCTCAATCTTGCGATGACCCGTCTCTGGCTCCAGAGGGAGAAGGTGTTTCTACATGATGCGAAGTGATGCTGTTCAAGGACTCTTCTGAGTCAGTTTCAACTGGTGCATCTCATAACGGACAACACCGTCTGTACTCCTAGATCGTGGACATAGTGAGATGGAGGATATGTCGTGTATCACAGTGTGAACCGCTTGTCTTGGTTCGTTGAGCTCCCATTGGTACGCTATTGTGGCCAGGCAGTCATCTCTGGGCTACTCTGAGGGGAGGTAATGTAATATCACTCCTTGTTGCTCTGGACGGAGCGTGCAGTAACTAGACGCTCACTCCAGAAGATTGAGTAGTTAGGAGGTCGCTGGGACAACGTGCTGACGAGTACTGGCACATCTCCTCCTCAGCGCCTTGTCTACCATCTCTTGGTTGGGGGAAAGCCCAAAATCGAAACGCCGAAGGATGGCGGGTACACTGCGCTCTGGACCAGCTCTATCATATGGGTAGGGGGTTCTACCTGAGTCGCTGCTCGGTACCACTGTTGAGATGGGGGTATCACCTAAGACCTCCCCCATAAAGTTTCATGCTCTGGCCAGCCACAGTTTAGTCTGTCGTAGGCTGATTGGGACATTAATCCCCAACATGTGGATAGTGTTTGCTTGCCTTGGCTGCATAGTTGCCGCTCTCTTTTTCCCGGATGCCGCATGCGCTGGGATCAGTTCAATGTTCGATCTGTTACCGGAACTTCTAAGGCTGATCATTATGCTTCGGATCTCGATGTGATGTGCGTGAACAATTATCCTGTGGTTGAGGATGGGAGAGGGCATTGATTGCAGAAGGTGGAATCACATGTATGACAGGTCGGAGTCGATGTACGTAGGGGCATGTGACAATGCCTGCTGGAATCGCACCAGCTCAGCTTAAAGGAGTCGTGCCGTGGTCAGGGAGTGCCCGCAGCCTTGTGTGTGACACTGTGGTACAGTCCAGCTGCTGGCTGCTCTTTCCGTCCAGGGGCGACGAAACATCGCTGTGAATACACTGCTCTTGTGCCCTCCTCTGCCAGTGACACATGCTTGTCTCAGCATGATTGATGAGGTGTCTTGCCTACAGAGAGCTTAGTAGATGGGTAGCTGCAGATGATGGCAACCATCAGCTGTATCTGGGCGCCAAGGAGGGTGGGTGTGATGGTACCCACAGCAACAGGAAGGACAAAATCTCTCAAGGAGTAGTTGTATAGGCAGCAGCTACCACCGAGCAGCACAAAACGTAGCGATACCAGGAGTAGTCGTGATGAGTGTGGGATCTTGATGCCATGGTTGTCAATATCCGTATCCTTAGTGGAGTACCTTGCTGCGGTGCAGAATCGTGGGCCACTTTGCAGGCGTTGTTATGTAATCTTACTCTTGTCAAGCTAGGAAGGAAGCCGGGCCTCAGATTGAGGGGACATACTTTGTTGGTCCAGATGGGGGAGGCGCACAAGCATAGTTCTTATCGCCTGATTTTGTACGACCTCACCCTTTGCCTGCTCTGCGAGAAGAGATGAGCTAACGCCGGTGAAACCGTAAGTTAATGAGCGAGTGCGTATGCTTGTATTAGTAGAAGCGAAGTACATCGCTTTGTGCTTGACCCCATCGCACTGGGTTGCGTCGTCATGGCTTCATGGCGTTGAGTTCTTAGTAGAGGCACGTGACACCTGACATACTTCGGCTGTTTTGAAAGGTTCAGCTTTTGCTCGCTCGCAAATAGACTAAGGATTCCCAAGTACAGGAAGGTAGCCTATCCACTCAGTTCTATATCTGAATAAGTAATTTATTCAACAGGAATCTGGTCATTAAACATCATTGCAAGAGAAGAGATTTCTCGGCCGAGATTTGTGAGGCCTAGTTCCTTGCAAGACTGCGTTATTTAGAGTCCAAAGCTCTCTGTGCCTGTCGTTTCTAATTGCTTTTCCCATTCACTACGAGCTGCAAGTTCAATCAGCATAGTGAGGGAGCTGTGTACCACTATATGAAAGTGAAAAGGCTCACAAGTTCCTGATGAGGATGTTAAACTGGGCAGGAATGAAGCACACTCCTTGTGGTGTACGTTTTCCAGGGTTTTTAAAGGAAGATGTCATGAGTTGTCCCTGAGCTGAGAAACAGGCCTGCCTGCCCTAAAACGGTAGGACTCTATCCAGGTCCAGGAGGCGTCCTTGATTCCCTGATCCGAGCTAGTATGTATTGCCAGAATTGCTTGTGGGGGTTGGCCTAGCTCAAATGCCTTTTCTATGGTAAAGGTGAGACGAACGCATTCTAGAGTTTTTTGTTATTATCAGCAATCTGGGCTTAGATTAGAGTGGTTATGCACTCTGCTGTACCAACTCCTTTGGTGAAGCCGCAAATATGTGGATGATGAGGAGGGTCCAAGTTTCCACAAGGCGGTTTAACACATCCTACTCTGCGTCTTGGCTAAGCAGCTGCGTCAGCGGTATGGAGTCTCATGACTGCCTGGGAGTTCTTGGGCTTTGGGAAATTGGTACGACGGTAGCTGAGTCTTCCAAGCTGCTGGGAGTGTCCTGGCCCTCCACGACTTGTTAAGACGTTAGTATGGCCTCCATCCTAGAACTCTGCCTCAGCCCGTAGCGAGATCATCCTCCCCCCCCTTGGAGTATGTAACACACGAGTGTACTGGGGCAGTGGTGTCAACGCTGTGTTTCTTAATGGCACGTCGGAGTTTTCATGGTCCGTGAGGTCTTCATCAGTCAATTCTCGACTCACATGAGCTTGTATCGTTAGCTTGGTGCTGTGGACAGAAGATCCGTGGCTGTATATTCCGGATGTTCCTGTGGGAGCGAGTGGAGGCTCCCCTGGAAGTGAAAAGCTCCACAGTTTGCCAGCTTCCTGGGATGGGTTGGGTGGTGTTGGGCTGGGTCTGGCCTCGGTTTGCTCTTGCCAGTTGCTATGTTGAGTACTTGCCCTATCTCAGATAAGGTGGTGTGATGCCACGAATGTTGAGCACCACTCAGCCATTTTCTCAAGTTTTTACATTCTGAGACGAGACTCTGCTGGCATTGGCTGCACATGTGGCGTCTCAGGAGTATTCCTGTTCTCTGCCGTAGGGGACGCTGTATTTTTTTTTAGCTTCCTAAAGAGTTGATGGCATTGGTTCTGCTCCCGCACCTCGTCTCGTTGTTGAACCACCAGTCTCATTTTGTGACGTGCGTCCTGCGTACTTCTTTGGAATTGCGCACTCTGCTCTGCCGGGTGCAAACAGTGATGAGCTCCTGTTCAGCCATATCACAGTCTTGAGATAGAGCGTAGGTGGACCACCAGTATTGAAGTTAATCCTGGAACACCTTCCAGTGAGCGCCTCTTTACGTCCATGAGGAGGTAGCACAACTGTGGGAGGCCTGTTGATGTTTGATGGTGTGAATGACTGCAAAGTGGTTACTGACAAGGTGTTGGATGAGAGTTCCCATGTGGCTCCTGCTGCGAGTTGGTCTTGACCAAAAGAGTAAGGTCGAGGCAGCCCACTGCCAAATGGTTATGATTGTATGTGGGGTGTCTCCAGGGTTGTAGCACCTTTACTCTGGGTATCGTGTAGGAGCTTTGTCTAGGGTGTCTGCCTATGCCAGGCATTGGTTGCTGAGTGAGAGGCAGCATTGGGTGATGTGCGTTTTGAAATCTCACCACAATGATACATCAGTGCGTGCTTAGTGTGAGGAGCTCTGCAATGTCGTGGGGATGTTCTTGGGTTCTTGAGTATGTTGTAGTTGGTCTCATGGCGCGCCCCAGGTATGTGCACATGGTCGGGCCTGTACCTCGTCTCTCCCGCAGTCCCAGGGTTGGCTATACCTCGTGAGCGGTATTGTTTTGGATTGCAAATACAGCTGTGCCTCTGAAGTGTGAATGCCCGGGGTCCATGTCAGGAAATACCCAGCAAAAACTGGGTATCTTGGGCACCATAGTCGGGAGAGAAGTCAGAGTTTCTGTGTAGCAAGTGATGTCAAACCGATCCCGTTATTTTACTGCCATCCAGAAGAGGTGCTGTTTGCCTCCATCAGACCCTGAAGTTCATTGAGGACTGAGGGGTTGTGATTTGGTTACGAGGTTTATCTCCATCGCTGTTGTTTCTTTTACGAGCTGAGACTGAGTTCTGCGCGCTCTGGAGAACCTGCAAATACATGGCATCCACCTCGTTGCTCCTCAGTCAGTAAGCCCCCCTACTACTCTACATCTCTCCCACCCCCCCCCCCCCCCCTCCCCCCCCCCCCCCCCCCCCCCCCCCCCCCCCCCCCCCACCCAAGTGTCAATCGCGCCTTTGTTGTTGCTTGAGATGAGTTGACCATTTGCTTACCTAATCGATCGCTCGGAATGCGC